GTGGGAACTGAACAATTTGCAACACAACGAAGAACAGACAATGGCCTTTCCTGTCTGTTTTCCATTAGGCTTGGATAAAGGCCTTTGCTACCCACAGCCAGCGGCCAAACAATTTCTGTATGTGCTCTATAACTATTTTGAGGTTATTTGCTATCCTGCAGAAGTAGAGGAAGGGAAAGGTTTTAAAAGTTACAACTTCTTATCAAGTCTGCCTCTCCAGTCAACCTGCTTTTTCTCCAGTCCTGACTGCAGGAGCAAATGGCCCAGGCAGAAAGATCAGACAGTGAATGAAGTCAGTGAACGACTTTGGGTAAATACGAAGATTAGATGTTGAATGAAAATGAGACTCCTCAGACCAGCCCTTTGTACTGAAGTGGTTAAGTGGGCTGTGATTAAAAGAAATAAGTAATTATCCTTATTATAGATGAAAAGATACAGAATTACCACTTTAAAAGCACCTCCTGTGCTCTGGAGTGGTTCTGTTATTTTCAAAGTGGTAGTTCATAATTATGTAGCATAAGCAAGAGGGCACCCTCTCGGTGTAGTGCAGCAGCCCTGTCTCTCCAAGGCGGAGGGTGGTACTGTGCCGAAGAGTGCTTTGTCCCCCAGGCAGAGCTCCAAAGTTCAAGTCTTGCTCCAGTGAGTAGAATGGTGCTAAGCCAGGAGAAATTGTGGGAACCTTTCTATCTCAGGCTGAGTGCAGGGCACACTAGAGTTCACAGAACTCTCCCTGCTTGGCCATGACCACTGCTGGTAATGGCTTTCATGATCACCAGGTTTTAAATAATAAATAAAACAAAGAAGCAAACTCTGAAGCACTGGAGAACAGCCCTGGGTGGTGACATCCTGTCACAATTGAAGCATGGCAATTCTGCCGGCTAGTAACTTATTACAAAACGTTTCTTTACCAGCCTCTTCCTACGCTGGGGCAAAGTGCCCGTATGCCTGTGGGACTGAAAAGTTCGGGACTCGCTGGGTCATGGGTGCTGGCGGGTCCTCTGTGTCCCCACTGCAGTGCAGTGCTGGGAGACGCGTAACGCTCTTGCTCTCCCTGCAGCATCCGTTATTGTGCATAGGAATTTGGTTTCCAGTGCTGTCAGTCAATTCAGTGCCGCTCATAAGCCCTAAATGCCCCACAGGCTGTTTGTCAGAATGTTCCTATTAACAGCTCAGTGAAAATAAAGGGTGAGGGGAAGGGAAGGTGGAGAAATAAATCTTATTTTAAATCTTTTGAGCTGATTTTATTTCAAATGGAAAGTTGCATGCGGACCACCCCAAGCTATTGTGCTGTGGACTGCGTCAGCTGCCTGACTGTGCAAGGAAGATTTGGGTAGAGGTTAAGAGCATCGCACAGGGGAAGGGTGCACTGGATTGTTTTTGTGCTGTATCCAGGAAGTTTGTAACTCAGTATGCAGTTGAAATACATTGACACACGTGGTAATCATTATAAGAAGAGAAAGGAACATTGAAATATGACAATTTGCTGCTCCCATTCTGGGGATTATGTTGGTTTCTGACTGTCTTGCAGAGGTAGTGACATGTTGTAGGGAGATACAGGAAAATGAAGGGCAGATGCTATCCTGGAGTGTTTGAGAGCTGCTTGCTGAGCTTAGTGCAGTACCTGTTGTCCAGACACCTTGTATCTGCCTACCTAGTGTATGGCTTCAGAAGGGTGGGTGGCTCTATGGCAGTATATGGCAGTAGCGTTGTACTTGGTTTAAAAGAGCTCTTCAAGCAAAGAGCTGCAGAATCGTATACCAGGCAGTGCGATGAGGGAGAAAAGGGAAACGCTGCCATGTCTTCTGCTGTGGTCACACCACAGATGGAGGTGGGTAACAGCCTCCTGGACCAGCTTTTGTTTAACTAGCACTGGCATCGCTAGCAGAGGAAGTTTGTTAGCAGTACTTGAATGTAGACAGCACATGTCCGTGGAGGCCCTTCCTTCCCAGTTTAAGGTCCTGCTGCTCTGTCTTCACTGCTTTGTATTCCAATATATTCGAGTACCAGCCAGTTCATACAGGACTACAAGAGCTGTAAATGTATCCCCAGTTTGAATGGAGCAATAGCAAATGAGGGAGGGATAAGGGAAAGACTGTAATGGGGTAGGAACATGGAAAATGGAGGAGGCAAATTAGAAAAACCCTGTCTCAGGAAGATCTGAGCCATAACATTGGTGTCACAGCAGCTTTGTGGCTCCTGTATCCCTTTTTTCTTAGAGCATTGCTGGCAAGCTGGCCTGTCTTCTAGGGCAGTGCCAGTCTCCATCTCGGGGTTGTCTCAGGCTCGCTCCTGTCCAGCCCTGCAGAGCCCTACTAATCCATAGTTACCAAAGAACAACAGGGAATCTGATATGAGCAGTGTGTTAGAGAAGGAGAGAGTCTTGAGGAGTTGAGTAATGCACATTTTTTCCATCCAGCGTAACTGTTAATGGTAACCTTTTATTATTGAAGTGGTTGAAGTGACTAGAATCTGGTTTGTTTATTGGGAGTATGTGCATAGCTGTACAGTCTAATGTGATCGAAAAGGGAAACTGATAATAAGGGAAAAATACACTGATGGAAGCAAGTCAGGTGATGTCTCTGTGTAATTGTAATTCCAAGTAGCACTGCAGGGATTAACAGCCTGGCAGCCTTTTCATCTTAAACTTTATTTTTATAGGGGTTTATAACTTGGCACTAAAGTCAGGAGTGGGTGGAAACTTGGCAAATGTGGTTCAGCCCAGAAAGTGAATGTTATTTATATTTATTTCTCACCAAGTTTTCAAAAACACTTGGTTACTGTTTTTGTGTTCTAACAAGTAGTAATTTGTTGGTTTCAGTGACTTATTCTCTGTGTGTTTCTTAAACTATAAAATAGTTCAGAACTTATTTCAGCTCTTCTGAAACTCCTAGTGGAAGGACTCTAGATTTCCAGGGGTGTAAATGAAGACCGAAAATAGTTCTTACTGTATTTGCTTCTAGCAGGATGCTCCAAGTATTTCATGTACACTGAGCAACACCTTTATTGTATTTACGTCAGATTAATTCCTGATTGCCAAGTAGCTACTGCACCTTTGGAATAATTACATTTGGGTTTACTGGCGATTGTGTGTATTTAATGGTGTTACTCAGGTGCGGGCTTACCGCAGAGAGGCTGAGGAGGCAATAGTTAGTATGGCCATGTGGGCTCTGAATCGTCCGTGTTGCAGAACGTGGTCTGGGGCTGTGATAAAGCAGCCCCTCTTCCCTGCTCCCCTGCCCACACATGACATCTCTGTATCGACATCGGGTACGTCCCTGGTATTAACACTGCTCATATTTCATACTTCACATTGATTTCATGTCTGTTTCTAATGCCAGAGACTAGTGGTATAGAGCCTTCTGTACCTGATTTTCAGGGAGGCCTACTGACATCACGAGGAGCGGCATTTGAATAGGGATTTTCAGTATTTTCAGCAAACTGAAATACTGTGTTACGTCTCTGGCAGGCTGTGAGTAATGTAGCAAAATGGTCTTTTGCTGACAATAGTGTTTGTGTATTGCACGTATTGCTTTGCATTGCATAGTTGAAATACACTGTACAAATAAACACTTATTTAGAAAATCAGTTGGGTTGAAACACTGGCTTTTGTGGAGAAATGGAATTAATAATTTTCTTAGAAATGCTTAATTTTTATTTTAAAAGGTTTTTTAAAGCAATTATTTTATAGAAGGTTAAAGATGTTGTGGGTTTTTCCTTTAAAAGAATGGGAAGAGTGAGTTAAAATTTCTTACAAGAAAATCCTGGGTACTAATTCACCTAGTTGTAAAATTCAGTACTTGTGATGTTCTGGAATGACAGCTCTAAAGATAGTAACTGTGTGTGTTTGTGTGCATTCAGGGCATGATTCCCTCCCCAGTGAGAATTCAACCCTCTCCGTCTGAGGTTAACTCTGGAAGGTGAAAAGAGCTGTCTTTCTATTTAGAAGGAAACAGAGAAAGTCATCAGTAAACTGTCATCCTGAGTATTAACTGTGTAAAGCTTCAAACCTTTATATAGATTAAGTTTTTAAAACGAGTTCAAAGCCTTGTACAGTTGTTAATCATTACACAAGTTATAATAGTATTATGGCATTTATGAAATAAATCCTCTCTTGTCACTTGCTGAGAGCAATACAAGGGTGAGGAAGTAGTTTTCTAGTTGTGTGATCTGCGTCCCTGAACACGTTTCTATCAGATCAATATATAAATGCCTATCCAATTGCACGTAGTGAGGCTCATGGAATCTGCAACTTACTGTAAAATTACTTCTGATTACTTAAAATTATCTAAGTAATAGTTATATTTATGTATTTTTTTAAACTTCATTTCTTATTTCAAATACTACTTTCAGAGGAAATTTAGCTTTGTAATATGCGCACTTAGTTTTGCAGTTACATGAAAAGATATTGCAGTATTGCTGACATAAGATATTTAAAAGGGGCAATATGTATCTGTGTATAAAATTACAGTATATGCATTTGGTTTGTAGTGTGTAATTTTTTATAGTAGGGTGTCACTTAAAGATCACGGGTCTTTGTAGTGCTAAACAAAGGGGGTTTTTTAGGAGAGTGAGGCAACTTTCTTTAAAGTGGACATTAAAGCAGAGATGCTTTAAGGTTTCTGGAGAGTGGAGAGGCTTTGGATATAGGAACCATTGCTTTAAATTTTTTCATGTGTGAGTCGCATGCTTTTGTAGCATGCTGTCACACAAGCAGCTTGATTCTGCTGTAGTGCACCTGGTTGAATTGACATTACCAGATAACTTTATCCACACACAACACAAGGCAGAGTTTATGTCGGAAAAGATACAGTTGCTGAGTTTGTAATGAGAAGCTGTTCCATGAGCGGCACAGGAAATGGTCTGGTTTCCATTGGGTTTGTGTGAGTGGATACTAATTTGGGTTTCTTTCCTTCACCTAGATGCCAGCGATTCTGAAATATTCACCCCTTTTAAAAGTTACTCAATTTAGTGACAGATACAAAACTTAGTGACAGTGTAAGTGGAAATGTCCAAGCTCGTTTCTTTAGGAAATGAGGCTGGAGAGGATACCTGCTACCGGTTTGAGAAGGAGGCTTCCTGAGCAGTGGGTGACACCTGAGAAGTCCAAAAGAATGTTAATTATTGTTGTTGCTTTTACTTTGTGCTGCTTTTGCTTATGTTTCTGTGAAGCTTCTATGCAAGTGCAGATTTGCAAACTAAAGCGGGTGCTGTTGTATACAGTCATCTGCAGTAACCCTTACTCTAACAGTCCTCTTGTAAGTGCAAACTGAAATGACAGCAAATTAATTTTTCTCTTTTAAGAGTGGAAAGAGAAAACCTTTCAGACTATTGTGTTCTTGGTCAACGTCCCATGCACTTACCAAATATCAACCAGCTGGCAACCCTGGGAAAAACTAACGAACAGTCTCCTCATGGCCAAATTCACCACAGTACTCCAATCCGAAACCAAGTGCCAACGATGCAGACAATGATAAACCCTGGGCTCCTGTCTCCTCAGCTCAGTCCACAACTGGTGAGGCAGCAGATAGCAATGGCCCATCTGATAAACCAACAGATTGCTGTCAGTCGGCTATTGGCTCACCAGCACCCACAAGCTATCAACCAGCAGTTCTTGAATCATCCACCCATCCCTAGAGCTGTCAAACCAGAGCCATCAAATTCATCGGTGGAAGTCTCTCCAGATATTTACCAGCAAGTCAGAGATGAGCTGAAGAGAGCCAGTGTGTCTCAAGCTGTCTTTGCAAGAGTAGCATTCAACCGCACACAGGTATCAATTTCTATTCTATAACCAAGAAGTGCTGAGGGGGCAAAGTTGTGGCTCTTGTGGGGCTGTATGGTTGTTGCAGATCAAGGCAGGAGGTGTGCCACAGAAACAGGTCAAACCATCCTCTCTTTCTTCCCCTAGTCTCTTTGTCAGGATTGAACAAGACTGTTTCTTCCTGGAACAGCTGTTTGTTTGCATTTGGTCACCTCTGTGCCATTACCTGAGCTTTGTTCTCTAGCGGTAATTCTGCTCATGTGAGTTCTTCCATGAGTTCCTCTCTGTGGTTATAAACTTATACATCTGCCCCTGCCTGATGGCCAGGAAGAGGTAACAAGAGACTGTGAGAGTCAGAGGTGTCTTTGGGCTTCTGTCGTTTTCTCAATTCCTTCCTGTGGTACAACTGATGCCACAACTAGTGCCAGAGGCTACTGCCACAGTTTTAAATGTGCATAGGCCTAAAGACTGACTGCTGGGAAAGATGTCTGCCATTTGCAGCAGATCGTGTTTGCTTTAGAATCATAGAATCATTAAGGTTGGAAAAGACCTCTAAGATCATCGAGTCCAACCGTCAGCCCGACACCACCATGCCCACTAAACCATGTCCCTAAGCGCCTCATCTACACGTCTTTTAAATACTTCCAGGGATGGTGACTTTCATACATCTGACACAGGTTTTCTCACTCGCTTAGTGAAATGCAGATACTGAAATGATTGCATGATAGTGTCAGCTTAAGCCCAGCACCTGGAGTACCCAGGGTCAGCACGTGTTCAGAAAGACAAGCCATTTACATTTATCCTACTGCCAGATACCATTCAAGGCATTCAAAGTATGATCTCTCAATTGTGATACTCTGTAACAAGGCTAAAGAAATGGAAAGTGGCTTCATACTTAATATTGGTATAAATTTCTTTTGTGCAATCAGAGCTGGTCTTTGAGGTAAATTTTACCAGCAAGAGAAAACAAGGGCCGCGTGTCTGTGTCTCCTGGAGGTCTGTCCCTTGCCCCATACAGTGCCTTTGTCTGTTCTTCTGGATTAATGATTTTCTTTGGCGCTGCCATTTTGGAAATGCCATGTTATAAGGGAACTAATTAAAGTATGGAGCACATTTTTATGACTTCCCTTCTTCCATTAAATTCCTAAGATGGCTGCACTCAGAAAAAACATTCACTTCCAATCAACATGACTTTGAATTCTGGGGTTAGCCTTGAGGATATCAAATGAAAACTACATAGGAATGTATGAGTATTTCCTCTTTAAAATGCTGCTTTTAATTTGGAAAAGCTTTTCATCCCTCTGGGATCATAACCCGTTGTATATAAAGCCTGGTATAATCAAGGTAGATGGTATTGACAGAATGACATATTCTGAACTTGAGCGAGAGGTCAGCAGTAACATTGCTGGTGAGGGTTTTGCCACTGTCACTGAACATGAAGCTCTGCTTTAGCCAGATTGGGAGAGCTGGATTGGTAATGCCCAAGTTTGCCATTAAACAAAAACCTCATCCCCCAGTGAGAAAGCTGTCATACAACTCGTATGTTAAATTGACAGTTCTGCTATAGTATTCAAAAGGAGGCAAGGTTTTGATTCTGTGTGTATAGGAAACCCCAGGCCTTGCATATCAGTGACCAGACGTTGCAGATTGACTTTCTAGGATAGCAGGGAAAAGGCAAGCATGTGAGAGAGACCTCTCTGGCCTTTTCCTAGCAGTGGCACAGCTTTGCATCTGCCTGTGGTGTTTATTAGCAGCGACAGTAGAGATTGCGCCACACTCTTGACAGATAATCTGAAATCTGGACTAAATCAGCTGCAGTATGGTTTGGAGGCTTGGGCTGGGGGTGGGTTTGTTGGGTTTTTTTTTTTTCCTTTTTGCACCTCCTGCAGTGTTCTGGCATGGATCTAGTGGTTTTGGGACACTAAACAGGTCTTCGGATGAAATGTGGTTTCTTCCCAACTTAGTGGCTCCTGGCAGTGTGACTGTGGGCCAGTCACACCTGACAGCATTTTCAAATGCCCTTAGGACACCAGGTGTGTAGCCATCCAGGCTGGGCTCACTCATCGGGAGCACAGACCTGAGCGGACATGCCAAGGTAATGTCCTTTGAGAAGGTGCCAAGCATCTTTCCTGGACAGGAATGCACCTGGAAATGGGATGTGATGCTCTGCCCTCCGACCAGTTTACATTTGAGTTCAGTAAATAAAACGGGGTCTGTAATTCAGGGTACTAGTATCACTGGTTTTTTCAGTCCTCCTGTCCTCCTGCTGACATTTATTTTAGGATGCACTAACTTCTCTAGCTTTTCTTTAAAAAAAAAAATCTTCCTGATGTTGATCACTTCATTACAAGATATCAGACACATAATTTCATATAAAAAGAAATAAATTACCTACTACTTAGCCCTCCATCATAAGTAATACGATGTACTATGCAGTCCATGACACTGATTCCAGAACAGGCAAGTCTTAAACATCCATAGAAGATTTGCTCATCTCACGTCACAGCTGTGTTTCATTAGTCTAGAGGACCTTAATATAGAAGACCAGTGGATCTTACATGTAGTGCATCATGACCCTAGGAGCCATCACCATAGCAAGAGAGTGTAGGTACATATTTACGTTTCCCTATCCACAGCTTTTAATTCTGACTCAAATCAATCTCCTCTCGTGTCAGAGACTATTTGAGGTATTAAGAAGGCAGTCAGCCTTGCGCTGCACAGTAGAAGATGTGGGATGTTCCCACACACCCATGGTGGAGAAGCAAACTCTGTAAAAGGCACTTGAAGTGGAAGTTCAAGTCTGCTCTCACCACCTTGTATTCCCCCTGCTGCCTCCAAGGATTCTCTCCTTAGGAGGTGCAGAGACACATGCGTTTCTCCCTGGAAGAGAGAAACATGGGTTTGTGGCATTTCACAGGAAGTGCCAGCCTTAGAAACTGGAGGTCTGTTGTTTCTCATGATGGTACCAAATAATAGATGCTGTATGCCAGCCAGCTAATAATTGTATTAATCACTGCATTATGGGCCACTGCTTAATCTTTCTTCATGGTAGCTCTGTGGTGCACATTAGCCTATAATTAAGTATAGCTTCATGAAATATGTACTGTGAGGCTTGTTTAATAGATAAACTATTCTCTAATTTATTTTAAAGTCCAATGACCTACATACTCAATGCTGAAAAACCCCCTCTTACTAACATTATTTCTCCCCTGGGACCTTCCATCTGAGCAAATCTGCTAAATGAAGTAGAGGAAGCTTTGATCCAAACTAGGCTAAATCCATCAGAACAAATGGCTGACACATGTATGTATGCATGGTGTGTGGGAAGGGGGACGTGAGGAGGGTCAGAAGAAGGAGAGGTGCAAGTGTATGTTTTGTGAAACATCCAAATCTTCCTTTTAAAGTTGGAAATACATAATTTAAGACAACAGTACTTGGTTATACCTGTGGACATGTTGTCTGCAAACACATGTATGAAAACATAGCGCTTCAGGCTCTGTGACAAATCCTGTGCATTTCCTGGGGCACAGCGTTTCCATTGAGGTCCCACTCTGAGATGGGGACTGAATATCAGGCAGCTTCGTACCTGAGTGCAGGCGGGAGAGCTGCACGGGTGTTTGGCTAGGTGCTGGCCCAGGCTGTTAGCCATGAAGAGGGTTTCTTTCAAACAGAAAGTTCCAAAGTGAACATTTTCAGATTTATTTGAAACTGGGTATGAAGAACCCTCACAGTGTGTATGACTGATTTTTAGTAAATGCCTTGGGCTGACCTCTGCCCCTTTTTTCATTTTATCTTTAGAGAGTCAATGTCACAATTTTAATTCACCCTACTGTGGAATCTAAATGCCTGTTTATTCAGCAAACAGGACAGGTAGAAGAGAGTTCTCAGACCCATAGAGACAATATAGTTATTGAAGGTGGTTTTAATGACACCGTTTCCAATGAGTAGGAAATTCCTACACAACCCTCAAAACATTTAAAATGGTGGTACACACTACCATGTTTGTTTAAGCTGGTGTTGCCTACAGCCTGCTCAGCGATTATAAGAATGGTGTACATTGGAAAGACACCCTCTTAGGCTCTATGTAGCCTTCCTTTCTTTTGTGGAAGCTGGCAGCACGGCAGTTTTTAACTCCAGGTATGGTCCTCTCTTGTGGACTGCAGTGAGTCACTATTCAAACTTGTCAAGAAGGTGGTGTAGCCCAAGGAGTGGAGCCGGGGCTGTTCTGCCCTGTTCCAGGAGCCCCGTGGAGACGGGTACGATGCAGGCAGAGAGGACAACACACAAGGGATGTTTATATTCCTGGCCCTACGCTTAGCTGGCCACCATTTCCCTCCCTCCAAGGCAACCAGGGGGGCCACTGGCTCATACAGGGAAGGGAGGATCAAGACAGGGGAGAAAGCTTGCCATGACTAAGGTGGCTAGCAGTATTGCTGGGGCAGAAGGTTCAGTTTCTTGCTTGTGTAACTGCATGGTTTGTGCCCAAGTTCTTCATGTCCAAGATCCTTGGCCTTGGCTGCCTTATGCAGCTCTGCTGGCCTGTGACCCATAAGTTGGAAATTTGCAGGCTCCTTGATCTGAATGTGGTGTTTACTGAAGCAGTTTGTTCCATTTGTTTGGACTGCTGCTATGAATTAATAGCTCGCTTATGGAAAACTATGCATCCTTGCGTGCAAGAGTGTGAGTGGGTTTGCATGGAAGGCAGAGAGCTGCATGAGGCCCATCAAACACTTGAGAGGTACATGGTCATACCTGATATCTTTATTTTAAAATGGAGGGCATTTTCATAAAGCATGTTGACATGCAGTCAAGCTGTAAGCTGAAGTTGCTATTAAAAGTCATTAGCGAAAGCTTTGCTTTCTGTAAGACTTCGGCACTTTTTGATTGTATAAAACCATTCAATCTTGAGAAAAAAATACGGAAAAGTCTGATTAATGCTGCAATTCCACAGGAGAAGCGCAACTGTCAGAGGCAGAGCAGATGCACCTCATACTTGGAATTGCCCTGTGCACATTTTTAAAAGCAGTCAAAGCTTTGAAGAGGC